TATATATATACACACACACACACACACACACACACACACACACACACACACACACACACACAAAATAAACCCCAGTTCATGCAAGGACCACAGATGAACATGTACGAATGAGCCAGCATGCCACTGTTTTATTTTGTTCAGGTTTTTACAATGCAACCATCACTGTGGTAGCTAAACAACAGTGTGTGTTGGTTTTTTTTTTTTTTTTGTTTGTTTTTTGTTTTTTTTGATGTGAAGCCTTGCTCTCTCCCTGTTGCTCTAGTGCAGTTTCTCTCAATTTTTTAGGTTGGCGACCCTTTATTCAAAGTAAAAAAAAAAAAAAAAAAAAAAAATTAGCAAATCCCCCCCACCCCATGTTTACTATAAAAGAGTAAAAAAAAGTATTAATTATAAGCCCATATAGTTGGTGTGGGTGTGTTTTCAGAGGCTAACTGACCTTGAAGGTTAAGAGTGTGCAGAGAATGAGAGAACAAGATTTTCTTTGCTTTAGATTGTAATAAAATGTTCAACACTGCACAATCATCCTTGATTGCCTTTCATGACACCCTTGGGGGTCGTGACCCACTGGTTGAGAAACATTCCTCTAGTCTTTTCTAAGTCATTTATAAAATCTTTTTAAATGAATGAGATACTCTTGAAACTTTATAGTGTTATGAGCTGGATGACGCGTTGTTATGGGATTTAGACTGAACTCATCCTTCAATTAACAACTATAAACATAAGCCCCATTTTAGCCCTAGTCTACACTACAGAGTTAAATTGACGTAAGGCAGCTTACATTGACCTACCTCTCAGCATCTACACCAAAATGCAGCTCCCATCAATGTAACTCTCCCACTACACCAACTTAACTCCACATCTGTGAGAGGTGTAGCACTTAAGACATTGTAGTTAGGTTGGCAGAGTGTCAGCGTAGACACTGTGTTGCTTACATTGACAGTTGCTGCGTTTCAAAAGCAGACCTACAATGCCCCACACTGACAGTTAAATCAGTGCAAGCACTCCTGGTGAGGATGCGCACTGCCGACACACAGAGGGTAGTGTGCATATGCAATAGCTATTTAATTACTGCAGTGGCTGTATGCTGATGTAACTGAGATCAACTTAATTTTGTAGGGTAGATTTGCTGTTTGAGTAAGGGTGTGTATGGGGGAGAAGGTGCAACAGACAAGAAAGACTGTCTTCCTCTCTCTGTCTAATGGAGCCGCTGAAAACATGATGGCTGACCCTGGAGGAAACCTGGGGGGAAACTTTTGAGTTAGGAGTGCAGGCTAATGAGTGCTCTTGGTGCTGTGACCAAAAGAAGGTGTTTCCTGCTATTTAATTCCCATACACAGATCAGGTCAAGAAGAAAAAAACCAAAACTTAGTCTCAGCCTTTTGTCTGAAGTGAGAATTCTAGATTAACAAGAGGTTATTTCAGCAATAGTGCTGGAGCTCATCCTGTTATCAAATATGTAGAACCCATTGTCATCATGTTACTATCACAAATAGCAGAGACCACCGTGTTATTGAACAGACCCATGGTATACAGCCAATAACTCCACTAGGAAAAGGACCACTGGCTGCCCAGCAAGAGGGGGAACCACAGGATGGCCATCATGAACAGTTGGTATGGAAACAGCAAACTAACAGCCAATGGTTAAGAACTCTGTGCACTTTGTATGTGTACCTGAGCTAAGGAAGAAGTGAAGCTTGCTGTTAGAAGAGCTGGTAGACAGGCTAACATGAGATTGGCGGACACATTCGTGAGCTCCAGGAAGTCACCTGAGGGAATTCCAGTGGAGTTACTTTCTGAAGCAAATCTAGATTAAGTGCAGTTTCCTACAGTATATATGCAACCATCACCACCACACACATTTATTGGATTGGTGCAGAATGTAAACGCACGCGGACCCAGGGCTCTAGGCACCTTTGTCATACAAGCTAAACAACAAACAAAACGGAATACAACAATTTTCCAGAAAACAAGATGGAGATGAGAAGAGCCATGGTCCCAACCCTCAGTGCATGAATCTCAGCCTTGAGAAAAGACAGGCTTTGCAATGTATGGCAGTGCATGTATGTGCACACTGCAGGCAGTACATGAAGCCAAAGGTTAAGTGACTTTAATCTCCTGATGGTCAGTGAATCATTGGACACTGGAAGGCTTTGTTGCTATTATAAAACATTTCTTCTAACGTGGGACTTGGGGATTTGCTGTAAATATTGATTAGGAGATGCACATAAATCAGTAGCCATGATGAGTGCTCCATTTGTTTCCAAAGCTTAACAGCCATTTTGGAACAAAGCTGTTTTTGTTAATGATTTTGGGCTTGAGAGCCTGCCTAGGGAGGGGACCACAATGTGAGGCTGAAGGTTTATTTTCACTGCAGCAGTTAGCTTGGGTGAGTACACTCAAGTCGAGCTAGGTTAGCTCGAGTGAGAGCAACCACACTGCAAAACAACACTTGAACTACAAAGAGTGACTGGATTAGCAGAGTGAAATTGGATTGGTATCTGGTTTATTGTAAATCAAGCTGCTGCATCCCTACTGTATTGCTAGCTTGAGTCCAGCAGACACCAAGAGGCGTTTGCTTGGGGGGGGGGGTGCCCGCACTGAATGGTTGCCAAAGGAACTCAACATGCCCAGCTAGGTGCCCAGGAGCCAAGGGATCCTTGAGCCACTGCCTTGTTTTGAGAAGGAGCAGCCCCAAATCCCCAGACTATTAAAATGCTCCAAGACCCACTCACCCATCACCACAACCAATAAGAAAAAGGTGCAGGATACAAAACAAGAACTCACATCAATGGAGCAGCCAAGCAGAGATCCCCTTTCCAGAGCTTTCAAAATAATTTGGTAAAGGTCACTGGGGGGTTTCCGAAGCTCGTACCATTCGGTGACCCCTCCAGTGAAGTCTTCAAAGCCCTCTGAGGTGCTTCCTCCAGACAGAGCTTCATAGCAGCCATTCACCCTGAATGAGAACGAAGAAGGCAGATAGTTAGAATTTTCCCATTGCTGACACATGCTCTGGGCCACATTAGTCAGGAAATATCCACCAGCCAAGTGCTTGGTACGTCATGGCCATTTCCAAAGCAGAGCTGGGCAAGCCCATACACTGGCACTTACTTGGCATAAGCTTTCTCGAGGAGGGCACTCCAGAACTCATTGCCTTGTGCTGAGTGTACAAAAGCCAGCTTCCCATCCTTCGTCGGGAGAAGATCGTCCACTACAACGTCCACCCACTCCCCAAACTGCCAGATCTGCATAGAGGAGAGACAGATGTATGCAAACTGATGGTGAAAATAGCTATAGGTTCTAAGGTCACCCTCATCACCATATTATCCAAACGCCTTCCAAAAATGCATTAAGCAACATAGTTAATATCTGGTACATGTGGTTCATTCTCTATCTCATCTCCCCAGGGAAAAAATGGTGTGGACAGTGTCTGGTGAGCTAGGTTGTTTAGTGTGTGTTTAGCAGTTCTTGTAAAACACGGTTTCAATTCTAATGTAGACAAACCCATTTGAGAGAAGAATTAATTTTTATAATACCACGGTGTAAACATGGACACTAATCAACTGATAAAAATGTTTGCATAGCCAATTTTGCTGTACCCTGTGCTACTCACACTGGTACTGCAGGATGCAAAGGCTATGAAAATGAGAAGGTCATGTTCTTTACAGAGGTCTGGCAAAGGGCCCAGGCTATTTGTTACTGCTGATGCCCAAACAACTGTGTGGTAATTAAACCCCCAAAACTTTGCAAGTCAAGTGATGGGGCACTAAGATTCCATTCAATCCTTACAGTTAATGGGCAGAAAGGTCATGTAGTTGTCTGAAGCCTCAGTTCAGCAAAGTACTTTTGCAAGTGCCTAACTTTAAGCATGTGTCTAATTTACCTGACTTCAGCAGACCTACTCACACACTTAACGTTAGCAATGTTCTTAAGTATCTTGATGAATTATTGCCCAAATACCCTGTGAATGTGAACCAGAAATGAAATTTTCATTAATTGGCTGAGCTCGTGAGGCATTACACTCAACTTGATGGCATTTCTGTTTGGATGTAGAATCGACTTCCAAACATTGGATCTCATTATGCTTTTTTCTCCTAGATAAAAGAACTGTCTACTATTAGAAATCTCTTCCATGTAGAAACATACTTTTATGTAGACCATAGTATAGTCACCTCTAAACCATCTCTTAGATCAGGGGTCTCAAACTCAATTTACCTTAGGGCCAGTGCTAGTCCTCAAATCCTCCCAGCGGGCCAATAATGTCACTCATGCCACCCAGAACCCGCCCCCCCCAAACTCCACACACCCCACACTCCGCTCCCCATCTGCCTAAGGCTCTGGGAGGGACTTTGGGTGCAGGAGGAGGGGGTGGGGTTGCAGGCTCTGGGAGGGAGTATGGGGGCAGGAGGGGGTTTGTGGGAAGAGGTGCAGGCTCTGGGAAGGAGTTTGCGGGCTAGGGGGTGTGTGGGGAGGGGGTGCAAGCTCTGGGAGGGAGTTTGGGGGCAGGAGGGGGTGTGTGGGGAGGGGGTGCAGGCTCTGGGAGTCTGGGGTCTGGGGGTGTGTGAGTAGGGGGTGCGGGCTTGGGGTGCAGGCTCTTGGAGGGAGTTTAGGAGCTGGGGGGACGTGGGGACGGGATGCAGGCTCTGGGTTGGGGGTGCGGTGCTTACCTGGGGCTCCAAGGTGGGGCAAGCCGGGGGGTCTCCATGCGCTGCTGCCCTCAGGCACCGCCCCCGCAGCTTCCCATTGGCCGCAGGGGTGCTCAGGGTTGGGACAGCGTGCAGAGGCACAGCCCTGCCCTGTCTCACCCCAGAGCTGCAGGGAAGGGCCAGCAGCCACATGGAGGGAGTGCGCAGAAAGCTGCTCAGCTCCGCGGTGCTGCCGGTGGTGGGCGGGGCTCCAGGCCATTTTAAATCTCCCGGGGGATGCGTGGGGGGCGGGGGAGCATCCGGGGGCGGCAGGCGGGGCCAAGGGAGAGATGTGGCCCCAAAATTGCTGCAGTCCCGTAGGCCACATTGGGGAGATTCTCGGGCCGCAGATGGCCCGCGGGCTGGGACTTTGAGACCCCTGTCTTAGATAAACAAAATATTTGTAACTTCTTTAGTCTTAGTATAAGGCATGTTTTCTAGACTTCGAATAATTCTTTTAGCTTCCAATTTTTCCAACATCCTTTTTGCAGTATGGACACAAGAACTGGACACGGTATCCAGTAATGGTCTCATTAATGCTATATCCAGAAGTAATACCTGTGACACATATGACATATGCAATATCCTGGACAAACCTTATGGAATTAAATTCAACCTTACTGAACTAAGTTAAACCTTATGGAATAAAGTTTTAATACCTTTGGAGTCCATTGTACTGAAAATGCAAATGTTTGTGCACTATGGTGGAATTGCATAGAACTTCTTTCGGAGGAAGGCAGGATTAATGCAATTTCTGGGAGATATTAGGAACATCAAAGGACTTTTGGGGACAATGTGTGTGCAGTGGATTTCCTAGGAAATACATGGGGGTGAAGGGAATGCAAATGACCCATCTCGAATCTGACTTTAAGCTGCATTTTGAGCAGAGACCCATTGTTTGGCTGATTTACCGATTAGTCTTTTCAAAGACCCAAACTGGATAAATGAGTGAGTCTCTTGGGAGTCCTTGTTCAGAGCAAAGGGTGTGATGAACTTGAAATCACAGGAAAACTGCTGGGTGAAGGCTGAAGGACTGCTCCATCTAGAGTCGGTGTTGCAGTTAGGACGGTCACTGATAAGCTTATTAGCAGGTATATAGGTTCTTTTATTGTTTTTAATATGTTTTCTCTGTATTGCTTTTACCTTAAGAATAAAATGTGCTTGCTTAGGAGGAGCGCTGTGGTAGCTTAACTGTGGTAACTACACTGTTAAACATTTCTGAAGAGAAGGCAAAAGAAGCCTACTTAGACAGCCTCTCTTTTGCTGGGATATCACGGGATGGTCAAGGGACTATGCAGCGTGGAAATATCCTGGTCAGAAGGGGGACAGAGAGAGAGAGAGACGTGTCTTCACCCAAGAGAGCCAATGAATAGGGAGTCATAAGCCTAAAGTGGGTGCCCTTGCTGGATCACAGAGGGGGAATACAGGTGCAGTTGCCCTGAATTGTGACAATACCATCTCCCTACTTTGTAGTCTCATTCTTATACATTGAAGGATTGTATTCATCATCTTAGCTACAGCATCACACTGGGAGCTCATGTTATCCTGTGACCCCTAAGTCCTTTTCAGAGTCACTCTTTTAAGTGACTTCTACTAAGTCCCATTGAAAGTCAATGGGAATGCAGCTCCTTAGTGAAATAGAGGGATTTAACAATATTTGATATACATGCTTCCCAAATAAATAAATAAATAAATAAAAATCTCCTGCTTGTTTCTGCTGCTAGAACTGTAGCAAACTTTGAATGGAGCCTGGTGTGATAATGAGATCTTCCATTATCTGATGGGATGGAGGATGACATCTGCTCACAGCTGGCAGGTACAGGTTGAATCAAAACACTGTAATGTCATGCTCTGCATGAAGTTTTAAATGCACAGCTCATGGGACTGGGAAATAAAGTTCTGTAGATGTCCAGTTACATTTAGACACGTGATTAGTAACACAGCTGGGTGTGGTTCGGTCACAGTGCACAAGGAAGGTACAATTTAAAAACCAGTAGAGAATCAGACCCACATGCCTTGCACATTGTGCACTCATTAACACTTGTGCCAAAAATTCCTACTCTTATTTAGCAGCATTTTACAGCGTATTTAGTATCATTCTGCACACGAGTAAGGAACAAGATGGAGAGTCAGGCCCTTTTTTTTGGGTGGTTAGATGGCCCCATTGCTGTAGTATCTGCGCACATCACACCCAATAGATTTATCATCAGCCCTTGAGGTAGGCAAGAGCTATTCTCCTCATTTTATAGAGGGAGAATTGAGGCACAGAGAAGCTAAGTGGCTTGCCCAAGGTCACACAAAATCTAGGGCAGAAACACGGTCTTGAACCCAGGTCTCCTAGATCCTGTGTTAATGCCCTAACTACCTGACCATCCTTCCTCTCGCAGTCCTGTTGTGAAGACCTCATCTTGGCCAACAACTGGTGATTGAACTGGGGACCACCACACCTAAAAGCATGAGTCTCTAGCATTTGTGCTAAAGAGGCAGGTTCTGTAGCTGTGGGCTAATACAGAATAGGCTTGGGGTGGGGGAAGGGAATGGGTGACCCTGTGTGTTAACACACTAATCTTTCACCAGTGGAGATTGGGGAAGTTTAAATGCGTTTGGTGGTTTTAACTTAGCCCCTAGTCAACATATTGTCCAGATGAGAAAAAAACACCCTATCTGTGCTCAGAAGAGAGCCAGAAATGGTATTTCAAGGGTAGATAGCTGCATTTCAGAATACAGGGACATTGGCAGAGCTGCTTGCTGGGATAGAACAGACTGGTGCAGATCAGGACTGAGGTGCATTGGCAGAGCTGGGGAGGGAAGAACGTACACTATACAAGTAAGCATTGCTCTCACCAGAACTATTGGCCTCCCTCTGTGGGAAGCACCTACTCCCTTCAAGTGTTTCAATTGTCAAAAACGGAATTTTCAATTTGTTTTAATGAGAATTCAGAATAACTACTTCACTCTTCTGGGTTTCTACACTGCTTAGTCATTGCAGCATCTCAGCTCACAGAAACTGGCCTCCGTCCAGATCAGTTTAACTGTCAGGACAAAAACATGATAGTTCAGTTCAAGGCTCTCCAGAGAGCAAGCACAAATTCTTGATAATCAGCCTGGTTTCATTCCCCATTGGTAAGAACGTCAGTAGACAAGGAGGTACCTAGAAAGGCATCAGTGCATTTGCAGTTCCTCTGCCATGCAGTAACACCACAGATCAAGAGTCTATGGTTTTTTATTTTATTCAAGTGCCCCAGATATATCATGATCCTGAAATTAGTCAAGTTTAGGGATTTCTAAGGTGCCTAACACATGGTATCTTAAATTCCAGCCTCCAATGAAGTCATTCAACACTTGAGTAATATGAAAATGCAAAGAAGGTGCTAACCCTCCAGTTAAAGACTAACAATTCTGTAAAGTTTATATTAAAATAGCTTATAAAAAGTTTTAAATTCCAGGTTTTCCAAGTAGAAATGCCACAAAATATGTAACTGTCACGTCACGATGCAGCTAATATTTGCCAAGGCGACAACACAGAATTCTCATGCCAAATTTCTACCTAAATTAAATATAGGAAATTTATTTTATAAAGTACCCTGGTTAGATGATCTGATAAAGAACTAGAGCAACACATACAGCATTTTATATCTGCAAAGTGCTTTACATAATTAGTTAATTAAGCCTTAGGGCATTTAAATTAATGGGTTTTAAGGCCAGAAGGGACCATTAGATCATCTAGTCTGACCTCCTGTAGAAGATAGGCCAGAGTATTTCCCCCTTCACTCCTGTATTGAGCCCAGTGACTTATGTCTGACTAAAGCAGAGGTAGGCAACCTTTCAGAAGTGGTGCGCCGAGTCTTCATTTATTCACTTTAATTTAAGGTTTCGCGTGCCGGTAATATATTTTAACGTTTTTTAGAAGGTCTCTCTCTAGAAGTCCATATTATATAACTAAAGTATTGTTGTATGTAAAGTAAACAAGGTTTTTAAAATGTTTAAGAAGCTTCATTTAAAATTAAATTAAAATGCTGATCTTACGCCGCCAGCCCGCTCAGCCCGCTTCCAGCCTGGGGTTCTGTTCACCTAGGCCTGCAGCGGGCTGAGCGGGGCTGCGGCCGGGACTCCGGCTGGCAAGGGGCCGGCAGCCGGGACCCCAGACCTGGGGGGAGGGGTTCAGGGCAGAGGGCAGTGGGGATGTGGGGGGGTTCAGGGCAGAAGGCTGGGGTGTGTGTGGAGGGGTTCAGGGGTCAGGGCAGAGGGCTGGGTGTGTGGGGGGATGCAGGGCAGAGGGCTGGGTGTGGGGGTGGTCAGGGCAGAGGGCAGTGGGGATGTCGGGGGGTGCAGGGCAGAAGCCT